ATTCTTCCCTCAAACTTCCATGTAAGGGGAGCCAGAAGACACCTGTTTCCCAACATTTTTGGGCTGGAAATGAAATCACATGGGGGCTGGGGGTCCCCGTGGCTAAAGACGGATGCTTCTAAAGGAAATAGGTCTTTTTTAATAAATTTATATACTACATAACTGTACATGAGAATTAGTTAAAATAAAAATTAAAAAACCCACCACAACCATCCCCTGTGTCTTGAAATATTAGGCTCTTTGGAGTCCTGGGATGCTGATTGTTTAATTTAAATCTGGTTAAAGTGCTATGCTTGCAGTTTTGCCCACTTGCCAAAACTGAGAACATCAGCTTCTGATGACAGAGCGTTTATGAATCTAGATCCGTACCCATTCATTTCAGCTTCCATCCCCTCTTCTAGAGCACTGGTTCCCAATATTCACTCTGATGTTGATTCTGTGGGCTCAGTGGGGCCCAGGAATCCACATGTTTATTGGAACTACTACTGATTCTGACTCAGGCTACAGTCAGAGAAGAAAGGGTCTATAAACCTGGGGTCAGGAACTGCTCAGCCACCTTTGGTTCAGGAGAGCCACACATGGCACAGCAGATCCCAGTCCTGAAAAATTCTCTCTCCCTCGTTGGTTGCACATCAGATCCTATTTTTCTCACTGATTTATTTACCTGATAATTTCTGGCTTTCTGTATCTCTATTCATTATAAACTTCAACAAACAATGTATCTTAGCTTCAAGTTTCTCTCCGCCTATACTCTTTTTAAAGCAAGTATGGATCCCAAAGATAAGCTACATGGTTATACTGTCTCGATAAAATGTACCTCTCAAACTCCTTTAGAACAACAGTTCTCAAATGTCAGCCATGTATCCAAAAGCACCTGGAGCAGAAAGATGCTTGTTACAGTGCAGATTCATGGGCCCCATCATTAGGAGAGAAGGCCCTGGGTGGGGCCCAGAAATTGCATTTTAACAAGTAACCATGTGACTCAGGTAGAGTTGATCCACTGGCCAGGCTCAGAGAGTTAATCTAAATTCTTTCTGCAAAACTGACAGCCGTTTATACACCTGGTTTGTGTGGGTTTTGTATTTTGGAAAGTTCTAAATAAGTGTTCGAGGAACTGACACAAAGAAAAAAATATCAGAACTATTTCAGAGATGAAAGAATCCAGCCCTTTTATGTTTTAGATGGGAGAAAAGGAGGCTCAGGAAAGTGACATGACTTGTCTGTGGTCACAACTAGACCCAGACTCAAACCAAGCAGGAAATCTCATTCAAACATAATCCAAAGCCCCTTGTGTTCTAGGCTCTTCTAGGAAGTTACATCCCATAGAGAACCTCCTGATTTCACCAACCCTGCTGTGCACCCACAGGTCTTCACCAAGCAGCAGATGCCCTAAGACTTGTGGGTAGAGGGGCAGGACCCAGCAGCTGAGCTACAGGCACTTATTTTCTAAGGCAAGGTGGGTACAGGAGGAATTCATTTTATTATTATTATTCTTTAAACCATATATCCCTGTGATATTTACTTTTGCAACATTTTTCATAAAACATTTCATAATGAAAAATGTTTAAAGGGAATGAGATGTGAGAGGAAGGAAAGGCCCCCAGTGGGTGGTGATGCAGACTCTTGAAAGACACAAGTCTTGCAGTCGGATGAGGAGCGGACATGAGCGACGCCAAATTTTGTCCCATCTTGGGGCAGGTCCCTGGCGGCAGTTCACAAATTTTGGTTCTCGTAATCACTGGGAGGAGGTGGAGTCATACCCCATGCCAGCCAGTAAGAGCAATTCCAAATGTTAGAAATGCAGTCAAACCAGAAGAAAAGACGAGAAGATTGGATCAGAGTGGAGAAGTACTTTTCAACTACGACACAATATCCAGAAGCCATAAAAAAAAAGATGGATAAATTTGGCTACAAAAAATAAAAATCTCCACAGGAAAAAAAATATCATCCGTGAGCTCAAAAGACAAAAGAAACTGGGAAAAACATTTGCGATCATACCACACATAAAGGGCTCATTTCTCTAATATAGAAATGAATAAGAACAAGACCAGAAACCAGTAGAAAAAATAATGGTTTCCAGAAAAAAAGGAATTGCAGAAGGCTTTTCATTGCATATGAAAATAGAGCAAAAGGTGACTGACAGAACAGTGCAAATTTAAATATACTTCAGCACATGTATTATCTTTGCAAAATTTTAGAAGATCGATGACATGCAATGATGGCAAAGACTTAAGGGAGAGAGGCACTCTCATACACTGGTGGGATAAAGTTGAATTTCCTTTGTAGGGAAATTTGCTAATTATGTGTGGGCTTTGACCCAGAATTCCAAGAAATTTGTCCCACGTTGTATGTGATGCATATATAAGGATATTCATCACAGTATTGTTTGCAACCACAAAAGATCTAAAACTACCCAAACACCCTTCAAGGAGGGCTAAATACTGTATGGTTCATCCACACAATGAAAGACAACGAATCTGTAAAAAGTAACTTTGTAGCTGCTGATGCATTGATAGAAATATTGCTGAAAGGACATAAAAGGAACTAATGAATGTGGTTACTATGGGGGTACCAGGTAGGAGGAACAGGATGGAAGGAAGCCTCCTTACTGTTTATTTCTTCTACAATACTTGTTGATTTTTGAGTTTTGTAAATGTATTCGGTATTTGAAATTTAATTGAAATAATTAACTGAGGAGCTTGTTAAACATAAAAATGGTTTCCCCCAACATCAAGCCCACTGAAATTGAATCTCCAGGACTGAGCACAGCTGTACCCTCACCCCTAAGGATGTGTGGAATGATTTCTTTAAAAAAGATATAATCCTTTAGCTCTAGTTTCTGAGTTTAAAGTAACAGTGCATAGCATCCCCTACATGGGAGACTGAATATAGGGTAAAGCCACTATTTGCCCAAGTTTGCTGAGATGGACGTTTTAATTATTACAAAGCTTCCAGAAAACAATTAGTACGTTAATGGCCAGTGATGGTTTCCATTTCTCTACTCCTTTTTGTTCACATCCTAAAAATAAAAATTGAAAAAGAAAGAAAACAACCCATTTTGTGCTCTGGGCGACAGATGGATGGAGAGAGAACCGGTCGGCTTCAACTATTGTTTCTAACCACTGTCATCCACATTGGTGCTCATGGTCTGTCCGTCTGTCCAAAGTAGCAGAACACCGATGAAAAGACCACGGCAGAAACAAACAGAAACCCACACCCACGGGTAAGCTGGAAAGTCATCAAAATTTTCTGCTGTCTACTAAAACTGACATACACACATCCTACAGCTTAGCAATTCCGGTCTTAGATATATGCTTGAGAAATGTGCTCACTTGTTCAACCAAAGGTATGTTCAAGGAGGCCCTGAGGAGCATTGCTCAGAGCAGCCCTATAAGGGACACTACCCAAGTGTTCGTCAAGACCAGAAGAGACAGATGAATTTGTGGCATATCCTCACAGTGAAATTCTATGCAGGAAAGAGAAGGCAAGAGCTAGAATGACACGCGACAATCTCACAAACAAAATGTTGAACCAAGATAAGATGAGAAAGAAAACACAGGGTACGATTTTATTTATATGTGAGAACAGCAGGTGGAGAGATGCTACAGCTTTAGAAGTGATGGTCAGGGGTAGACAGTGACCGGAAGAGGGTGTGGCAGGGGTGAAGGTTTCTGAGGATTCGTCACATCTTCTTAATTATGGCTTGTTAATTGACCCCGATGGTCAGTGTGCACAAAGGCACTGAGCAGTATACTTCATGTTTGTGTATTGTCTGCCCTTTTGTTATGCCTTAATATAAAGTTTAAAAAAATCATTCCAAGCCAGAACGAGTAGTGTGTGGGTGAGTTTTGGGTAAGCAATGTGCTCAACTTCTAAATGAATGCTGTCCCAGCCCGTTGAGACACCAAAGAGATTCCAAAGAGACTGAAAGGACAAAAAGGCTCTCAGCCGAAGCTCCTGAGAAGCATGCGGAAATCCTGGCTTGGCCCCCTCTGCCCCACCAGTCAGGAGCAGCAAGGCCTTGGCTGCAGAGGCCGCGGCTTTGGGGCGAGCTGCAAGGGGAACGGGTAGCAGCAATCCCTAGATGCCAAGGCGCTCCACGTAAGTTAATTTTCTGGTTAAATCAACACTTGTCTCCTTCAACAACTCCTTCATTTAAACCAGAATCATTTTTAATGGAACCCTTTCAAAATGCACGCCACACGTGCCTGACTTTTTGAAGAGTCTACTGAATAGAACTGAGTCTTTACACCAAATAACAACACTGCCACTAAGTCCTGGTAGGTGCCAGACACTGTCCCAAATGCTTTCCAGCAAATTACCTCTCTGAAGCCTCCCAAAAGCCCTGTGCATTAGGTCCTATTATTATTCCCATTTTACGAATGAGGCTGAATAACCGTTCAAGGTCATAAAACCAACAGCAGCAGGCTGCTCTAGCTCCACAGCTTCCGTTATTCCCGGGACCAGGCACACCGCACCCCACATGCCGACAGGTAGACAGGTGCATTCGCTGCCCCTTTAGGCACAGTCCTGCTTGTTCTTCTCTCCATTATTTCCTTTCTCCTTCAGTCAATGATACACTGCTAGTTTCCATGTAGAGCAACACCCCCAAAATGCCTCCCTAAAATCAGATAAAAATCTACAGCACTTTGTTTTCACCACTTTAAATCAACTCTCAATATCCTTAGATCTTTCCTTTGGGCTAAAATGGCCCACAGAGTTGGACCAACTTCTTTATCAGTTTAAGAAACCTCTCTGGTTCTCTGCATTTCAAAGCGTCCTGGATATGCTTTTCCTTAACACAACTCAGAAGAGAAAGCCTGGGGGCGTTCATCAGATTAACAAAAGCGGCCCACACCTGGGGTCCACCCTGCTGCAGTTGGCGCCCCAGCACACACAGTGGTGGGGGCAGATGCACACCAAGACCTACAGAATCATTGCCCATAATGCTTATCGGCTGGCAGGCCTGCAGAGAAACAGAAACCAGAGAGTGTGCTTACCCTGTTTTCAAGCTGACCAGGGCGTCCTCCACTCCCTTCTGGTTAAATCTGGTCATGTACTGATGCATGTAGGGGTAGTTGTTCCGAATATTTCTTTCTGTGCTGCCGTTAGGTACTGTGCCAAATCGGAAAGGCGGGGAATAGTCGTAAGGTCTCTGAAACTGGAGGGGTGGGAGACAGAGAAAGGAGAAGTCAGGCATCATTCTGTCTTGGTCAGGAGTTAAACGTATGCAAAAACAACACCCATCTGGGGGCTTCCTTTCTATTTAATCATGTCTTCCACTGGCCTGGGAGCTCTAGGAGGTTGGAAGCAGCATCTATCTTGTTCCCCACTGTTTCCCAGTATCCAGCACAGGGCCCGGCTGGGTGCACAATGGGTATCTGTTGGATTGAGTTTTCTGGTCCCATCCTAGAGGTTAGCCAAGTGGCAGGCGGTGCTCAGGAAATGCCAACTGAGCTAAAATGAAGGTACTACTTTAGTCCAGTTCATTTATCTACTTCACAGTGAAATTTTCTGTGATTCCCACCAACCATTCCCTTCTCTGAACTCTATGTACAAGTACTTGTACCCCACTCAGAAAACATAGAAGGGGAGCAGAATATGCCACCCTCAAAATACGCCTCTCTGGCATAAGGATTATTTGGAGCTGGTTATTTTTCAGAAACAGCAGACACAGGAAAAGCTCAAGAAGTTAACACTTTTGTATGTAAGAGGCATTTACATTTTTTAAGGAAATCTCTGTTTGCAAGGGTGTCTCCCTGTCCGTGCTGGAAGAAGAGGATGACAAAAATCTCTAGAAACTTATCAGTGGAGAAGGCACCACTTAAATCTGTGTAACAACTGTACCCTGGTTTACCGAAGTCTTCTGGGTCACCTCCCATAACTGGCCTCCCCAGCCCGCACTCCCGTGCCCTGAAATTTTTCTCTTTAGTGAAGATGGTATTTAAATTGGTGGCTTGGGCCATTTCAGGGAGGTAGTCAGTCTTCCTGGACATCTCCCACATATACAGAAGGTGCCCATTTATTAAACTTCTGTTTGTTTTTCTCCTGTTAATCTCTTTTATTACAGCGGGGGTCTTAGCCCAGAACCTAGAAAGCTAGAGGGAAAATTATTTTTCCTTCCCTGCAGTGACTATATGTTGTTATTCACTCATTCTCTTTGTTTGTTCCCCTATGCATGCAACACTTATGGGGGCTAACATACTCCAGGCATAATGGCAGCTCCAGGAACATGCGTTGAGCTCCTCTCCCCACTAACCATTAGCTTTCTGGGGATGCCCACATCTTGTTTGGCTCTTAAATCTCCATAAAGCTTTTTAGTTCATCATCCAGATTCCACTAATCTTCCCTGAGTGGCTGATACTGGCTGCTCCCAACTTCAGTATTTGGGGCAACCCAACCAGATTAGGAGTCAAGGGAACTGGGTCTGAGACACAGAAATTACAATCCAGAGGCGCAAAGGGTGGTGGTGAGTATGAGACCAGGGTCACAGGTCACAAAATCAGGTTCTATCACTTACAAACTGTGGACCTTCAGCGAGTCACTTCACTCTGCCTCCACTTATTTCCCACCCACAGAGTGGGAAATTTATCAGTACTTCCCTTACCGGAAGATCTAAAATCATAATGTTTGTCAAGTAATTAGAATAGTGCCTGGAACAGAGGAAGCACTGGAAAATAAGACTATCAATTACTTTTCATTTTTACTACCATTATAGGCAAAAAAATAAATGGATAACATGGGCCTCATTTTTCTATGAAGTATAATATTCTGGAACTAGAAAGTCATACTAAACATAACTAACATTTTTGGGAGACTAGCTTGGGGCCAGCCCTGTGCCACGAACTTCACAATGGTCGGCTCGTTTGGACTCACAGCCACCCTGCCAGGTACCTGATCTTAGAGGATTACGGGTGAGGACACTGAGGCTCAGACACGTGACCTATGCAAGATTACATTAAGTAATCTTAGTGTTGTGGCCTGGCATTCAAACCTAGATATGCCTGGCCCAGGCTAAGGTCTGAACTCCATCGCTCCTCAGAGGCCACTGCTAGTGACCTCCTGTGAGTCAGAGGTGGGAACCTGGAGACCTAGAGAGAGCACGGACACCCAGCAACTCCACAGCGGAACCAGGGCTGGAATCCAGAGCAATCTCTGACTTCCAAGCCAGAATGTTTTCCATGGAACTAAGGAAAGCCAAGAAAGCATCCAAGTTCACCCATGAGTCAGGCCAGCCAAAAACATTCTTTTTTCCAGATTCACACTTCATTTCACCGTCAATTAAAATTTCCAGTTGAAAATCGTTTCTACAGAATTAGGCATGCTGCTGCTTCACAAGCAGCCACAACCAGATTTGGGGGCAGTGGCCATACCTGGTCCAAAAGAGGTCCTCCTGCTGGACACCCTGCTCTGGGAGCATGTGCACGTGTGTGTGTACGAACAGCAAATCACTCTCTGCTCTCAACCCATCACTGTAACAGGAGGAGGCACCACCTAGGCACCCCCTCGTTTGCACAGCGGCTCCCAGTCTTGGGGAGAGAGTCAACAGCACTGGTAATAAATCTAGTGGTAGCAGCCGCTCCCGATCTCTAGGGGCATCTAAGATGGCCTGTTTGACTCAATGCCTCGCACTTCTCTCCCCATCTGCTGCAGGTCAGCCACGTGGCTCTTTTAGATTTCCTTTCTTCCTTGCCCCTGGTTTGCACAGCCACAGAGACAGATATTCAGCTTTGGTGATGAAGTCCAACACGTCTCTGGCCTTGACTATACCATCACTCACACGAAATTCAGCCCAGGACCAAGATCTGGGAAGCCCTCCTGCTAGACTAAAGGCTGTCAAACTTTTTAAAGCATGACTCAAAATACATTTTTCATTGCCACCCTGTCCACACATACATGTACAAGGGTGTGTGCACACTGTATGCCACCTCACAAGACTCACTCTGTCTATATGTCATGCACTCTGATGTCATCCGCTAGGTTCTATGTTTTTAATGGTCAAACAACCCTCAAATCAATTTCATGGCTCACTGAACAGTCACAACCAGTAGTGTGAAAAACAGTCGGAGGTAAGCATGGCTCATCTCCTGAATCCTGGGGCCTCCCATCAAGGACACACTCTGTGTTCCGTGTTTCTTACAGGAATGAATTCTAGTGCAACCTTCTCACAGAGCGTTGTGCATGCAAGTAGAGGAACAAACGTGGGCTCCAGCAAAGGAAGGCACGGTGCAGAGGCTCCCAGGCTCAGTAAGACCACAGAGCAATGCAGTCTGCTGCCCAGAGGCAGAGGAGCTCCTCATGGCTTCTCTGTCTCAAGGCTGCCCTCAACTGCTCATGCTCACTGGCTTCACCTGGCCTTGGGTCCGTTCAGCCTCTCATCTGCCACCTAGGAACTGAGTCATTTTTGGGCAGTCATGTAAGCTCTCTGGGCCTCAGTTTCTCTCACCATAACTGCGGTGGCAATTAATTCATCCCAGAGTGCTTAACAGAATGCCTGGCAGGCCATATGCCTGATTAACATCAACTCATCACCTGTGGGTACTGACTAGCCAAATCATGGAGCCAGGTTCCCTCCACTTTGGAGAAGAAAGGATGAGAGGACTATATTCTAAATATTTTTTCCATTCAGTATGTGGACAGGTCTGAAAGTCATCCAGGGGAATAAGACGTGACAAGCACTCTATGACGAAGGGAGTAGAGCATGCTGATCCGCAAAAAAAAGTGCATAAGCAAAATGTGGCAACTGACCAGGACATTTCTTTGTTCCTTTTATGAGCCAAAACTACACATTCCTTTAAAATATCTGCTTTCTGTGGTTGCAAATAAGGGACACTGGCATCTGGAGCCCCCATTTCTAGTAGGGTCTAGGGTCCTTCTCCCGCTGGTGAGCTCCGTGCGATTCTTGATGCCAGCATCAAAAGGCCATGGCCCAAAAGAGGGCCGAGAGGTTCAGTTAACAGGTGTGGTGGGTCAGGACCACCCGCTGTCTGATCGCCGAGCCCAGAGGCAGCACAACTTCACAAGGACACACCCCTGGGCTCACCTACCCGGGCACGTTCCCCGAATCCCCCCAGCTGACGCGGCAGAAGGCCAACCCAGTGCCCCAGAACACCTCAGGCCCCAGAGGTGAAGAGGGGTTCAAATGAGGCAGTGATGATGATAAGGAGGACGGGGGTGAGGAGGATGCAAGGAGGAAATAGCACTTATAGCAGGATCATCTACCATGTGCCAGGCATGGTGTGAGGTTTATTTCTAATCCTCAAATCAACCCTGTCAGAAAGGTATTGATGCCACCCCTCCACCTCTACTGGGAAGTTAAGCCTTGAGGATACAGACACACTAGGGGCCACACAACCATCATATGGCAAGGTGAGCATTTGAACGAAGGTCCGTTTGACCCCAAATACTCACTCACTACATTAATCTCTTCTCACTGCATGAATCTGCCTCCCAGAGATGGAGTTCCTTACCAGAGTGGTTGCCAGCATTTTAGAAAAAGTCTCCACCAACATGCCAACTTCCCTTTCATTATTCCTGGGGAATATCTACCCATGAATTCACCTACTTACAATTTAAACCCGAGTTCATCTGTGCACATTTTCTAGGAAAAAGGTGCTTTTTCCTAGAAAGCATTAATACTGCAAAAGTCTTAGCAGTATCATAGTGCTGAGTTGTTAGGTAACTGTGACTTAAAAAAGGGGGAAAAACCATTTATGTGCAGTATTAAAATAATTGATTCAATATAGATTTTTCTTTTGCAGCCTTTCTTGGTGTATCTGCTATTAATCTTCCGGGAGCACATAGTTTATTTACACAAAGAATTTTGCTGTTTATCTAATGGTATCAAACATTTAATTAGAAGAGCTATCTGCTTGCTGCTAACACTCTAAGCTTGGAAACTGAGTTGTGTCTCATGACGATATGGAATCTGTTACTAGATGTTTCCAAGTCAGAGAAGGTCAGTCAATGTAATAGTGGTTCTAATTAGTTTCCCCACAAGTAGTCATGTTACTTATACCCAAAACTATGTAGCAAGGGATTTTTCTCCCCTTCCCTTTGAAAATAGCAACAAAAAGCAGAATATGCTGCCAGCTACTTTCTCGAAAATCCTTCTCATCCAGGACACGGCTCCCCCAATGCCTCCACTGCACCTCCAGTTGCACTTTGGCTCCCATAATGCAATGGAATCGCCAAACAGTCCTTCGTGTCTGTAGAGGATTTTATAGGTTATAAAGCACATTCGCGTTTGCAGGCTCTTCGTCCTTGCTACAACTATGACTCCCACATTTACAGAGAGAAATAAGGACGCACAGCAAGATCACATGACTATAAAAGCACCTCCCAGCCAGGATGCGGCCGAGAGGAAACAGGAGCCCAGCCGTCCCAACTCTACGGGGCAGGGCTCTATCTGCTGCTTCACAGATGCCACGTGGGTAAGGTGTGGGGTCAGCCAGAAGCCAACCCTGAGCAAAGCAAGGCTTTGGGTGAACATAATTTATTAAGGAAGGGGAAACCAAAAGCGGGGTGGGGGTAGGAGGTTAGGCAAGGTTCCTGTGTCAGCCTGATCCCACGGGGATCTCTGGAGACTGAACTGCGTGTCTGAGGCTGCCCCGCCGAGCAGCAATGGGGTGCTGGGCTTTTGTGCTCTCACACTGCTTACTCACTGCTTCCAGGTGGCTGAAAGGATGGGGGGAACTTAAATTTCCAGGCATTTACTTTCTAGCGCCCCATGGTCATCACCCCGTAAAGATCCTTGATGTGAATGAGCCTTGTTGGCAAGGGCAGGGTGGGCACACAGTGCTGGGAATGGAGCCCCAGGAAGCCAGGTGGGGTGCCCCCAGTGTCCCACACACCGTGCATTTCTCACTCACCAGAAGTGGGTACCACACACCTACGAAGCGCCACAGAACTGTCATCAACACGGCTGGTTTCCCCTTCCCCTGAGTCCATTTTCATCCCATCAGTTCTACCTCCTTTCTGACACTATTCCTGCCCGGGATTTTCTTCTCCTTTTACATTTACTTGCATGTTGTTTATTTCTTCCTACTAGAGTTTAAGTTTCAGGGCAGTACAAGCACAGGCTGCCGGGAAGACCTCTCCGAGGAGGTGGCATTTTCGCTAAGATCAGCCACGAGAATGAGAACATTCAAGGAAGAGTCAAAAGCAAGGGCACTGCGGTGGGAATAAGTCTGGAGTATTTAAGGAATAGAGAGGGGGCCTTAGTGAGCAAGAGGGGGGACCTGTGACAGTGCGCCAGATAATACAGGGCTTTGTCACCATGGCGGGTGGAGTGGCATTTACTCAGGTTACAGCGGGAGGCCATCAGAGAGTGACGGTGATTTTGTGAAGGTCTCTCACCCAGCAGCCCCTCAGCATCTGATGGTGGGTCTCTGTACCTCACCCAGCAAGTCACGGATAAGCTGTGAAGGCTTTTCACGGGTTGATTTTCTATTCAGCAGTTTGTTGATGAATGCCAAAAGAATGTATGTATAGACTTCTGCCAACAAGACACGATGGTGAGATTTTATAAAGAGAGACAAATTACCCACACGCATGAGACAGAAAATCTTTGCAGTGCTGCAAGCGCCACACTGCTGAGCTTAGCAAGTCAGGATTTGTTTCCTGAGCCTAAAATTTCCATCGGAGGATGAATGCACCTTACCTCTTTTTTTCCTCTGTATTTCTCAATAGCACACCCCACAACCCTCTTCCTGTTTCAGCGGGAACGGAGAGAGCAGGTGTCACCACTCCCACCTTACTGGTGTGGGAAGCACAGCCCATGAGGGAGGACTAGAGATGTCCGAGTAAATGAAGCCAGGGGGAAATTAATAGATGGGGGCCCCCTGCCCCTGTTCTGTCTCTTGAAACTTCAGGGGGGTCGGGAGTGCTGGCAATGGGCCTCACTGGCTCCACATACAGGGAGCTGTCAGTTTTGACTCTGGGGTGGGCTTACTGATGGCTTTCTTCTCATGTCATAGATGAGGGATCCAAGACACGGAATATATATGAGACTCGCCTAAGGTCACAGAACTAGGAGAGACCTACAGCCCCACCCCAAGGCTCCCCTGATCCAAGCTCCTGCATCTTCTTCAACCTCCCAGTCTCCTTGAAAGGACAAGTTCCAGCCTTAAGCTGTGCCATGAGTCATAGCACCTCCGTGAGCCTCATCAGCAAGGTCACATAAAGATGAGAAATGGCCGGCTGGGGGAAACCATGTTTCCAACTTAGATCTGGAACCTTGTAGACCCAGGAGAGCTAAGATTAAGGGGTTGGGTCGACAAATTTTAGAGATACGCTGATTTAAGTTAAGACAGGGGGAAAAAAATCCTCTCTCTTTGTGCTTTAGAGTTTAGGGTTAGAAGACAGGAGCCTGAATCGCTCCTTTCTGATGGGAGAGCATTTAAGTGCAACCCATCAGGCGGACTTGGAAGCAACTCTTTTTGTCCTTACCTTTTTGTCACTGAGGCCAGTCACTTGGTCCACAAACTCCTCCTGGATCATGAAAGCAGCCAGATTGGCCGTGTAGCTGGCCAGGAATATGACAGCAAAGAAGGCCCACACGGACACCATGATCTTGCTGGTGGTCCCTTTCGGGTTCTGGACAGGCACGGAGTTGTTGAACACCAGGCCCCAAAGGAGCCATATAGCTTTTCCAATCGTAAAAGAAGGCCCGTGGGGTGCTGCAAATGGCAGAAAGGACACTCTCAGCCTCTTCTCAAAATGTACACTCGTGAGGGTTTGATAAGCATGCAGTGGCCATCATAGTGCAGGCAGTCGGAAGACGGAATTAGACCGTAGCTGTGCCGCCACCACTGCCTCAGAAACACAGCCGCAGTATCTCCACTTTTCTTTAAAAACTAGCATTCTTCCTACATTTCTGTCTAGCTGGGTTTTTGCCACGTTTCTTAAAAGAAACAAAAAAACACGACCACCAAAAAAATAAAAATAAAAAACAAGAAAGAAAGGAAAAGAAAACAGTTATGCGAAATGTAGGTTTGAGTGAGAAATAGTGTTATCACCTGCTGTTTTACGTCTGGATCTGACTGCCATTTGGGGGAGCCGATCTCTTTAATAAAAGTAAGAGAGCCTCACAGAAATGTGTGTACAGGGGTGCTTCAGTGTCCCTCCGCTATGCTCCCATGTAAAAACCAGGCAATTCAGCAAGACTGATGTTCCCTATTCTGCTCTGATTGTCTCTGACCATCGCTTCTGTTCAAATGCAGATGTAAAGTGTGCACATGGTAGGAATTAAACCCAACTAAAACCCTCTCCAAATGGAGACATTAAGGAATGGGACAACAGAGCTTAATTTTTCCAACACTTCACAGATGGAAGACCTTGGGTTGCAGGCCCATGGAAAATGAACTCTGATATCACAGCCCTTCTTCCCCCTCACTGTATCTTCCCAACAGCTACGTGTCCCTTTTAAGATTCTTGAATGTTCCTTGCAACAGACTTAACTAAAGAGACAGAACAATATAGCAAAATTTACTGGGCAGAGAATTTGCAGGCTTTCAAGTCTGTTTTGCACAAGGGGGAAAAAAATCAATTTATGTCCTCATTTCATAGGAAAAGGGGTCTTCCTTTAACAGAAGGTTAATTTTTATGTCATTTAAGTAAATGAAGATAAGAAAAAATGACTGACTCAGACTTCAGTTGGCGATGCAAGCAGAATGGGCAATAAACAAAGTGGCAGAAGTGAATTCAGATGGATGGCAGCTATGAAGGTCTGGGCAGGGAGCCTAGGAGAAGCAAGCTTTCTGCACATGGGAGGCCAAACTCGGGCTACCGCAATACTTACAATATCGGTATGCCACACACTCAAGAGAAGGCAATTAGTTCTATTATTTATTCTCAATCGCAACCTCAGCCTCTCCTGTTTCTTTTTTGCCCAGTTTTAAAATCTGGGCTTATTCCCAAGAGGCTGAGATGTTTTAGGGAAAAAATAATTAGAGTCAATGCAGTTAACTTCATGAATTCTTTAATGTTATTAGGGATGCATGTTGATCAGAAATGAGAGTTAGTTATTTGGGAATCAGAAATCGGCAGTTGCAAGGGATCTTGTCCAACCAAGACTTTTCAGGAATTCCGGGTTCATTCATGCATACTTTTACTAGACCATAGAATTTTCCCCATAAAGTGCAGAGAAATGTAACAGACAACCATTCTGCACAAAGGAACAAGCAGCTGTCATTGCTGGAGAGTTTCCACAAGCAGATGAACAGGAAACAAAAAGCCTCAAGGTAACAGGAGGGCCAGGGAACTTATGTGCTGGATTCCTTGCTGTACAACAGTCTTCTAAGTGTGTGCTTCAGACAAAGAGAAATTATAGCACATGATGGCCTTTGGGTGATTTTCACCTTCCAATATATATCTCAAATGTATCCACTTATCTTCATCTCTATTAACCCTACCCAAGTCCAAACCACTATAATCCTTTCTCTTACAAAACTGTAACACCTTCCTAACCGCTGCACGCCCCCTTTATTACCTGGACAGGGTCATCCCAGTGACCTTCCACACTGTATGTGTTTCCTTCCCCCCTCTTCCCTTCCATTGTATTTTGAAGAATATCTGAAATCCTTACCACAGTCAAGAGCCTGCCCCTCTGACTTCATCTTATACCACTGTCCACCTCACTTGCTCACTACTTTTGTGTTTCTTGAGCATATCAAGATCATTCCATGCCACTACCTTTGATTTGCTGTTCCCTCTGCATGGAATGCTTTTCCCCTCAGGTTTTCCCATGACTGATTCTTCTCATTCTTTAGGTCTCAGCTCAAATGTCATTTCTTCCAAAAGCCCTTCCCTGTTCGACCTATACCCCCACCCTGTCACTTTACTTTGTGTCTTCTCTTCTTGAGTTTTATTACAATCTGTGACTACTAATGTATATGTTTACATGTTGTTCTCACAACCAAATTCTCAGCTCCCCAGGGGGTCAGAAAGTCTCTATCATTTACCATGTTATCCCCTGTGTTGGCACAGGGCCTGGCTCATAGTACACACTCAATAAATACTCATCAAATAAATGCATGAATTCACAAACAGCACAAACTCTGATTCTGCAAATGGAAATATCTACTCTACTGCAATACGATCACTCAGAGAAATTATCTCAGGTTCCACTCTGTTGAAAAGCTCCTCCCTGGTTAGATATGTTACCCTAACGGGCCCTTGAAGATATACTGTCTTCCATCATCTCAAGTCATTTTTTAGGAATGATTTGGTCCTGGCACCCTTCTGAGACCATCTATTTAGAATATGTTGTGCAATGAGGAAAATTCACTCAAAATGATGTAATGTATTTACATATATCACACAAATAATAAGTTATAGCCAACAAATGCCTTCAAGCACTGTCCAGAAGAAAAATAATTCTTTGGGGGAAGATACCATTTTAGAATTATATTTACTGTCAAAAGAATCCAAGTGCGATCCAGTAGTTTGGAAAATGTTCTTAAACTAGAGTCTATAAAGCCATTTTCTTTGCATAGAAATTGGGAGTCGCTAAAATTTGAGCATTTCTTTTGACACAGATTTTTAAAAGTAATTGCCAGAAAAACTCCTTCAAATCTGCTTTCTCAACAAAATTGAAAATCAGTAGTTTTCACCTAACAACTACTGACTCCACATAATAACAAGATTAAAACATTTCATTTTATTTTATCCTTTTCTCACTTGAAGTGAGTTATCCATATATGTATAGGATTACAAGTAATAACACCCCACCACTGTTCATATAATAGTATATAGCCAGGCAATATGGCATAATGTGTTCTAAATATGGAGTCTCCATTGAAAGTAAATTAAATAGCACCAACTTCAAATCATATTTAGGAAGGCATTCTCACCTTTCCCTCCGGCTAAGTTCCTGTTGTATCCAACAGGACTGAAGTATTCAAAGACGAAAACAGCTATGGCGGAGACAATGAGCAGCATGACAAACATCATCACCCAGACGGAGGCGCTGAATGGTTCTGCAGGTAAACAGGCCAGAGGAATGGAAATGTGGTCAGTTAGCGCATCCTCACGAGCAGGGCCAGCAGAAGCCCAGAGATCCATCTGCAGGCTCACTGAGAAACTTTCTCCAATGTGAATCTGGTCATTCAGAAAAGCTAGTCACTGTGTATTCATAGATCTAAGCCATTCTATATGCTACAAAAATATTTGGGGTATTTCACAAGACTGCATACAAGAAGACTAAAATAGAGACGAGCATGTGACATTTCACAAAGTGGGTCAAGGATGACGAAAACCAAATGGAATAGTTAGATCAAAGGAGAAAGAGGGATTGCAAATTAAGAGGTCATGGGGTCCTTATATAATGATAGAGTCATCCAGGGGATCAAAGCCAGGGAGAAACAAGACTAGACTCCAGTACTCAATCCTAAGGCCCCTGCAAATCAGCTGGTTTCTTTCTTATTTTTACATGCTGGAGGGACAATGTATAGGGAATATTCCAGAAGTAGAAGGAGAACCACAACCTATTAGAAAAGGATCATGAAGTCACGGGGTTGACAGGAATACTGGAAGGTCACAGTCTGCCGCCACTAATACCACACTACCCATTTCACCTTCTGCCCCAGATAGAAGAGATCTCTACGATTTAAAAACCTTGTCGATGTTGGTAACAGGCTTAAATGTAGTTGAAAAGTCATTTGAGGATATTACATTCACATGGTAATTTAATGAAAAAGAATCACTTAAAGAGTAGAGGCGACGAAGTGGTGATAGATGATAATTTCCCCTAAAAGTAGTTTTCATAGGGTCATAGTCCTGTGAATGTCTCAGAAGAGCAGGCTAAATCACCAGGTTCTAAATGTTAGAACACTCTAGAAAGGTAAGAGATATTATGTAAAATATATTAACATTTCTATTCAATCTGATGCAGAATGAGCTGAATGGGGCCATTTTATCCACATGACATAGATTTGATAGAAAATCAAGATACTAAAATTTTAAAAATGAATATATCTTCAACTGAATGCATCATTGGGAAGAAACTGCCCCTGGACACCAATGAACTTATAATCCTTTCATTATTTCAAACAGTTTTTGAGGGTAAAACATACGAAGCTCAATAATGTCTATTGAGTAGCAGACATTTTATTACTTTAAAATTGTTTTTCTGATAATGCCGGTCATAATCATCAAGACCTAGGCCGATGGCAGGCCACCTTCTTATTAAATTCTGTGACTACCAAATCATCCAGAGATCATCATAAATTCCAGTTTAATGAGCTTCCTAAGTAACAAGAAACTAATATGTCTGAAGCCTTAACTATATTGGATACTTTAAAAACTGGAAGGGATACTTTGCAATGCAGTTTCAATGTGAAAATATCTTAAAAAGCAACGGGTTAAAAAATAATATAACTTACCTGACTTAAACAACATAAGATAAGTTCAAAGATATCAGTGAGATTGCAACTGAAATTTATCTTAGTTAAATTTAGCTTGAGTAATAAGCAATGTGATTTCCCTGAAACCACAGCAATTTGGTTTTGAGGTACACTCAAAAAGGAGGAGAAAGAAATGAATAATTAGATTAGAAAGTACTTACTATTGTGGAATAAAAATGTTAAAGAAATTCTCCAAGCTGGGTATACTGATGGCACAGTGTGTCTTGTCAGAGAGGCGTCATTGTGATGAGTAAATGCACATAAACATGTAAAGCATTTAGTGGCGTGTGTTGCACACTGTATATACACACAATAAATTAAATGGACTAGCTGTTTGATTGCATGGTAAAAGCCAGGATCAGGGGTGGTGTGCTGTCCAGGGTCCTGAAAAAGGCTTACTGGTTTAAAACATGTACATTTATTAATCTAATAACTTCTTTTTTTCTGGAGGAGGTGATAACATTATTTTAAAAAATATTAGGGAAAACCTGACTGAATTCTTCTGTTCACATATCAGGATCTATAAACCTGCAGTGGATCTCACTTGGCCGTTGATGCATCTTAGTAGTGATACTAACTGGTCAGAAAATGAGGAGGAAGTGGGTCAAGCAACTGATCACAGATGTTTTGCCACTTGGAAGTGACAACATCTGTTCCTTGACTCATGAGCGTGGCACAGAGATAAAAGGATCTGCTACAGTATTTTGGTCTTAATAAATTAGGTGCCTCTGAGCGCCCTGAAGGATTGCTATTCTCAGACACCACACACATACACACACACAGACACACACATTCCGCAGTGAAGAAAAGTGTCAGAATAACAGTGAAGTACTGCCTATCCTGTCTAAGGAGTGACCGAGGGATATTTTTGAACAGCTCTGGATTACATCCTCTGCTGGCTTAAAACAATTAAACATTTGTCATTGATGGCACTTCATTCAATCTAGGAGACTCCAGGTCAACATTTCAAGGAATCCAACCTGCCTGGAAAGTCTTAGAATTAACTGAATGGATATACTGCAAGCGACATCACATCATCTCTGTCCCTGAAGAGTTGCTGGTTACATTTTTACATGAAAGCTCAGAGGCATTACCTGCAGGTGCTTCCGATGTGAGTTAATGGAGTTTGCAGAGGAGAGAATAAGAATAATGAAGGGCAGTGTAATCAGACTGTGAATGTTCTGGCTCCTCCAGATGACTGAGCCAGTGAATGGGGCAATGTAGCTTAGCACGGCTCATTATGACTTTCAAAACCTGCAGATAATGACCACAGATAAGGGGGTGCACAATCAAATAGGGATGTAATTTAGTGACTCAGAAAAATATTAAGCCTACTGTGTAAAAACAGCTTTGAAAATAGTTCCCTCTGTCTACAGTTTTATTTTTAAAGATACGGTAGGAAGAGTGGCGGGTGGAGTGGGGAAAGGAGGTTTGGTTAAACTTACCAAAAATACTTGGATTTTTATGGAAATGTTCTACTCATGTAGGTAAGATCAAAGTTGAGGCCAGAATATACCAACGACCCATTTTTATGAGACAAGCCAACTGAAATTATTTTTTCTCTGAGCGGAAAAACATTATCTCCAGCTCACTAAGGACCACGTGTGAAAAGAAACAGATCTCTTTCCATTTTTTCCATGAATGCACTTCCTCCAACCCTAAACTCCAGTGACAAAGATCTGTTAAAGGGTCTGATAGGGAACGAGGGAAAAAAAGTGATTCAGGAGTGACTAATGAGTGAGAGCCTACCCAATAATTATTAAGATTCTGCATGTGTCATGTGTCATCCATACATGTTGCCTGTTGCATTTTTCATGGTATAGCACAATGCAGTAAAAATGCAGTAGCAATCCTTCATTAAGATATGGGTATTGTCATCCATGTCAGACAAAGGCACAAGGGGGCGTAATGAGAAATGTATTCATCAAGGTCCACATGACTCCAAGAAAGGTTACAAAAATGGAAGCAACGGGTGCAAAATCAAATCCAGTGAGTGGTAAGGATTTCCACAGCTTACATGGCTTATCAGAAATGAAAATAGTAGATCCATATGTCTCTGTGAGTAATGTAGTATCCAAAATCCTGTTAGTCAACATCTCACTCAAGGGGAGGAGGCATAAAAGTTTCACTGGATGCTAGCTTTACATATCGATGAAGACATTGGGATATTAAGTCTACGGGCTTGACATCGCACCCACAAATGGGTTCTGGTCTGCAATTTTAGGTCTGTAGAAGACAAAAGTGATATTTTTTTGTCTCTGAAAAATGCAAGAAATTTAATTGACCTTCATCTGTTGTCCCTCTCTCATGTAGTTTTCTACTAAGGGACAATGTTTATCTTAACCTTCCAAAATTTGGGACAAACCCATTGATGTGGGCGTATCAAGGGGAAGCTCATCTGAATTCCATGATCTTCAAGAGGGTCACTATTGAAAACCACTTAATGATCACCAAACACTTAGCACAACACTTTCCTTTAAAGAAAAAATAAATAATGCCTGGCTATGCTCCCTGCACTTTTAAGTACCCTGGCCAGGCTACCTAATGCGTACATACGTACAGTGCTAAAGAAAATCACATGATGGAGAAAATCCTGATCTACTTGATTTCAGAAAAAAAGAAAAAAGCTTTACGTGCAAGCAAAAATTTAAGAAATAGTTAAAAGGAGATGAAAAAGAATATCCTCCTTTACAAATCATTCAGCTTAAAGGACAGTCACATTTAAAAATATGGTTCCATTAATTTAAAATCAGTGTATACTCCTCTGACTACTTCTATTTTGTTTATCAGAGTTCTGGCATAAATCATTGTGCAGCCATCACTATTTTCACACTTAAAGCCAGTAAATAAATGACTCTCATCCTGGTGAGGGATGGAGGATGGATATGTGGATGCCAAATAAAGGTTTATGGGCTGACTTAAATTAACTGTGGACAGACAGGTTTATTTTTAAATGTTTTCAAGGCTCTGAGAAATATATCTACTAATCTACATTCTACACAATGAAGACACGTATCTGAAGATGTGATTGTATTTTCAGCAGGAACTTCCAAAGTGAAAGATAAATGAAAGATGTCAACAGGGGAAAAATGAATCCAAACGCATGCATTGGAAGCATGTGTTAAATGGAACCGAACAAGGTCCTATTTGATTCCATCCTTTGAGCAAACATGACAATATACCTGTAATTTCCTCATAGGAAAGCAGAGTGACTATGAAGTTCCCATACCTAGAAAAGCAGACGGTGAAACGGTGCCATTGCTTCTCGACACCATGACACTGATCCCTGTCTCCACAAAGGGCACAGAGAAGTCCACCACTTCCGAACGCTCCTCGTTGATGGTGAGTGAGCCGACCGCCATGACTGCCCGTTGATAGACCACCTGGATGCAGGGCGAGAGGAGACCAGTGTCTTTCCCAGTCCTTCCCACCAGCCCCAGGCCGTCACGCCCTGGGTCGGAATGAGAGCCCGTGGGACGAAAAGCCAGCTTACTTCACCAATCATTCCATTCCACACGTTGTTCACTTTTTTGCCATGCTTCCCATTAGTCACCAGGTAAAGGTCATAGGTGAACTTCACGGTCCTGGAAAGTTTCTTTAGAATATCGATGCAGAACCCTTTGCAGCATTTTTTGACATTCATTCCCTCATTGGTTGAATTGCTGTAGAGAAAATCCCAAGACCACAGAATATTAGTACTGCAAAATTGGTCCACCATCATTAACTACACTTTTACTATTTTTCATACGGGAATTGGAGGCTCCCAATGAGAAAGTGGCTTTTCCTAGGACGTGCAGTGAGCTTATGACAGCAAAAGTAGAGAATGTTCTTAATTACGGCAGTAATCATGAAAACGGCTCACATTTATTGAGTCATTACTTTTGCTATGCGCTGTGCTGAATGCTTTATGCTAATCATTGACTTAATCGCCATGACATTTCTCTTAGTTAGGTAGCACCCGTATCCCTATGATGCAGATGAATTACCACCTCTTATCTTTAAAAGTTTGTAACATATACAACCTCTTTCAACCAAAGTTTAGTCACATGACCTAAACTGAGTTATAAAAACCTAATGGAAAATGATAGAGAGGAGGATGTGAAACTCTCGGGGGATGGAGGAGGGTTTTGCTTCATCCTGCCATTGAAGATACAAGTTTGCAACCAAAGGTTAGAAATGAGGGAGCCTTACTTAGGTGAGATACTTTCCTTACTCCTTAGTTAGGAACCCGGAGACCTGGGGCATCCATTGTGCCTGTGTCCATGGACTTAATGTCTCTGCGTCGACTCATCAAATGTGGGTTTATTCATAACATTTCCCCTTCTAACTACACTGCGGGAAGTGTGAAAAGAGACACTATTAAATAGCAATGTCCTTCATCAGGAAAAAGCCCTAATAAAATACAGAGGGTATTGCCTGTCTTTAAAGCTGTCACAATCTGCCAAGCAACATTCGCTGCTTTGTGCCAGTCACCCCGACCTGACCAAGTCGTGCTTAAAGGATACCCACAAACATCAAAGACACCTTTTAAAAAGGAAGGACACAGGGTTTTCCTAACTGATATCTACTAAGTAGACAACTCACATAGGAAGATCAAGACCTTTGTGGGCATTTCACTTAATACCACCTTGCAGTGGAGCATTCCATCCCTCAGTTCTCTGTCTTTGACTCATGCATATCACGAAGTATGTGCTCTGTTTGAATATCCCATTGTCGGCACATCTATATGACACACTGTTACCTAAGTGCTAAAATGATCTTTATGGAAATGCAACATCATGACAGGAAAACACTTACGTTTCCATATCATATGGAAAAAGTAGGTTACATACTGATACATATAGAATAGTCATAGTTCTATCAAAAACAGATGAGCTTATGAAATATCTGGATGGAAAAACAATGATATATGAGGCAGAGCTATTTTTGAACAATGAGAAGTGTTTTTTTCTTTTCCTTATTGTTGTTGTTTTTCCTCCCAAATTATCTGCTGTGAGTGTATGTTACATATCTAATTAGAGGCACACACATACATCAAGCCCCACTATATCTATATTCATACCCATGAATATGGGTAGGTTTGGTAATACATCTTTGAGCAATGGAAACAAGTTGGAAAATGACGCCTTTTGTTTTCAATACTTTTCTCAGGACCACAGATTACCCGTCCTGAACTGTTATCTTCACCACAGCCCCTGGCCTCTGCTCAAGCATCCTGCTTCTGTCAGCCAGGACACCATACCACCAAGATGTACTCCCTAGCCTCGAAGCTGCACGACCTGCTCTGACCCACCCACCCCCAGCTGGGGGCTGAGAGAGGCCACATCTGCATACATTTACAAATGAGGACTGAGGGACTCAACTCTGTAGTGTGTAAGGTGTAGCTACCTTCCCTATTCCCACCAGCTTCCCAGAGTGGAGAGGGTTAGACTGCCATCAACACGATAGAAATGTGTCCTCAGCGCATTAAACTAATGGCATGTCCAGTATGATTTCCTCCTTGGATTCAGGGTCACAGTGGCTTTCTGATCCTGGGTCTGCTCCTGACACCCCTGAGACCTCAGACAGGTCTCTTCACTCACAGGTTTGCCCATTTGCAAATTGAGAAGATTGCTACCTTGCAGAATTTTACCTTTGGGAAGATAAAGTACTTATAGCATCTCTCACATAAGCACTTAAAATGCATTTTCTCTCTTCTCACCAACAATTTGACATTTGGGGAGACTGACAATATGGCCGTGTCTTCCTACACATCAAGCCAGATAATTGTTCCTATCTTTCCCTTCATACTTCAACACCCAACTAACAGGTTCGAAGTAAAGTCTGATTTCTCAGTTCATTTCCTATTACTTGTGGTTTTGGCCAACTGATGTGAGCCCTCAGGACCCCACCAGTTACTGGAAAATGAGAGACAAAGGGTTTCCTCTGGAAGAAAATCACCAAGATATATAATCAAGTTACCTAACAGGAATTCTTTTTTTTGGAACCAATCAGATTGCCTCAAAGATGCTGCCTTTAGGAAATACAACTTATGTAATCTGTGTTAATGTTGGGATTAATGGACCCCAGTCATTTTCTATTCTTTCTGGTAAATCAAGACTTCAATTTCACCTAGAAGCACAGGGGGCCTCTCATGTCACCAACTGGGGAAAGGAAAGCTGCAAGCTTCCCACCACTTCCCACAGGAACCAAAAAAGTGAATCTGAACCTGTTGATCTGTGGATAGTCTTCAGGAGAAAAGCTAATTATTTTAAAGGGAGTAATTTATTTGGGGGTTCATTACTCCATACAAATAGGGCTCCAGACTTGGTGATCTACTGTTTCCAGCTCCAAGGTTTCTGATGTTACAGATTTTAAACTCTTACTATGGATTATGAAGTACGAGATGCCCTACCTCATGGAACCTGCTGGAACAGAGAAGGCACTGTTATCAGAAAGGAGGCAGCCCACTGGGGCTGTATCCTTTGCTATGTGCCGGCCACTCGGCTTTCTTCATCTGACTGAGTTCTGCTGGAGGAACAGCCACTCAAACCAAAGCCTCCTGTGGCACCTTTCTCACATTCCCTTTCCTCCTCCCACCCAGCTCATGAGCCCCTAGTGCTGCCCTGGGCTTCCTTCCGTTTCTGGAACTTGCCAATCCCTTTCCTCCCGTGGGCCCTTTGCACCTGCTGCCCCCTCTATCTGAAGGCTTTTCCCCAGATCTTCCCATGCTTGGCCCCTTCTCATCTCCTCTATGTCTTCTTAAATCTCACCTGTGTGAGCTCAAGGAGTCCCGCAGACAAGTCACTCTTATCACACCACCTTATTTGTGTCCTTTCCAAAGCTCACCCTGTCATGCAGCTTCCCCGGGCCCATTTTTGGCTAAGTTGTTTTTTTTTTCACTGAGTGTGTTCCATAACCACAGGACCCTGGTCTTTTGCCTTCCCTGTGCATTGCCATATCCCTGCACTGTGCGTAACACATACACTGTGCTTAATGAGTATTGATTTACTTATTAATCTATTAAAAATTTCAACTCTAAAGAAGCTGATTACTGATAGGGGAAGAAAAAAAAATCTTTCTCCAAACCAAAATATGCCTTGATAGCACATTTGGCAATCATATGTATATATATTTTTTTAATTATCTTTATCCTAAGCTCTGAGCTCTGAGTATTTGCATCTTGTATAATAACAACTTGGGTTGGAATTTGGAGTGGGGGAGGGAAAGCACCCATTCACTCACCTGCTCAGTCATTCCCAACATTAGTGTGGCCTGTTCTGTGCCTGCTACTGGGGATACGAAGATGAATGAGCCATATTCCCTATATTTAGGCAACTCATACTCCAGGGAGAAAGACAGATAAATTATAAGCCATAAAAACAGATGGTGACATCCATCAGTAGATGAATGGATAAAGAAGATGTGGTACATATACACAAGGGAATATTATGCAGCCATAAGAAAAAAAACAGATCCTACCATTTGCAACAACATGGATGGAGCTAGAGGGT